GGCGATAACTTACCATAAGGGACACCTTCAAACAACCCCAACTTGAAAGGCACCCTTAAGGAAGAATCAAAGTATAATTCACCCTACACCTCGGGGTAGGGCTATAAGGTTAAGGGATGAAGACTAGGGTCTAGGGCTAGTACTAGGGATAGGGCTAGGATATAGGATAGGTACTCTAGGTAGGGCTAGGGATAAGGGATGAAGATTAGGGTCTAGGGCTAGTGATAGGGAAGTAGCTAATATTTCAAAGTATAATCCCCCCTCAGCGATGAAGACTAGGGTCTAGGGCTAGTGAAGTAATATCAGGTCTAGGGCTAGGGCTAGGATAGAGGATAGGTAACCTTAGGGTATATAGAGCCTAGGGCTAGGGATAAGGGATGGAGACTAGGGTCTAGGCTAGTGATAGGGAAGTAATATTTCAAAGTGTAATTCCCCCTCAGTGGCTGGGCTAGGGATAGGGCTAGGACATTTATAGGATAGATAACCCCTAGGATAGGGCTAGGGCTAGGGCTAGGGCTAGGGCTAGTTTATTATATACGCGGAGGCAACGCCCACAACTATACGACCGTATATACATCATATTTCACAAGTCCCCCTTAGGTCTAGGTCGAGGGGCAGCATCCTGTGGGTTGAATAGACTATAAATGTCCTAGCCATATCCCCAGCCCCAGTCTGAGGGGGAATACACTTAGAAATATTACTTCCCTAGCACTGCACAGTTGGTAGCTAACCCTGGGGGACTTACCCAGGGTTCGGATGGATAGTAGCTATCCTGAGGCTAAACCAAGGGTTCGGATGGATAGTAAGCTATCCCTGAGGCTAACGCTAGCACTTACCCAGGGTTCGGATGGATAGTAAGCTATCCCTGAGGCTAACGCTAGTACTTACCCAGGGTTCGGATGGATAGTAAGCTATCCCTGAGGCTAACGCTAGCACTAACCCAGGGTTAGGAAGGATAGTTAGCTATCCCTGAGGCTAACGCTAGCACTTACCGAGGGTTCGGGAGGATAGGAAGCTATCCCTGAGGCTAACGCTAGCACTTACCCAGGGTTCGGATGGATAGTAAGCTATCCCTGAGGCTAACGCTAGCACTAACCCAGGGTTAGGAAGGATAGGTAGCTATCCCTGAGGGCTAAAGAGGGCTATACCGAGGGTGCGGGAGGATAGTAAGCTACCCTGAGGGCTTTGGGTATAAAAGAGAGAAGAGTTTGGGGATGATGCATCCAAGTGTTTCCTCGGAAATCCAGAGACCTCCAGAGAGTGCATCATCATCATCGTTCTACAGCCTACTTCAACCGGACCTCCAGAGACCTGCGGAGACTGCATCATCGTTCTACAGCCGACTTCATCCGGACCTCCAGAGACCTGCGGAGACAGCTTGGGATATCACCGACTACTATGAAGAGACCCAAGGAACTCCGTTGGAATTGTGGAACGGGAATGTGAAGGTGTGTAGTGCAAACGGACAATATCAATGCAAGTTATCATGATACTCTTTTAAGTATAGTTGGCAAGTGACAGGAATATTGGCCGAATGAAGAAACTGATCCTGAAGCGCCTCAACCCTACGACTCCTTCGAAGGAGGAAGGCGAAGCTCCCCCTCACCATCAACCATGCAGCCCTGGATCAAGTGCAGTAGTGGCACCGTATATGACACCCAGAGAGTCCTATGAGCTGGGCATGCGCTCTCAGCCAGCATGGGAGGGTAAGCTCTTTAATGTGTTAAAGAAATAAAGTTTATGTATCTATATGCACCTGTAGAGAAACTGGAAGTGTTCGTAAGGGAGGATGGTGAACGAGGGGTTAGAGCACTCACCGCGTTCCGAGATGGAGAGTTCCTCTGTGAGTTCGAGGCAAATCTTTTGTCGAAGGCCCAGTGTGAGAAGGCAGAGAAAGAATACGAGGCAGATGGGAAACCTGTCTACATCCTTGAAGTGTGTTGTTTCAGCTGAACTCAATGATTGATTTATCTTTACCCTTATAACAGGCACACGGGTTGTACTTCGACCCAACACTGAGGGCGAATGCAATCGGCAAGTACATCAACCACGCTGCAACAGGGGGAAACGTCACCCTATTCCCTCCACTGTTTGCAAGGGGAAAGATGCGGGTAGGGTTTGTTGCAAAGAAGGCGATTTCCACTGGGGAAGAACTCTTCTATGACTACGGTTATCGGTAGGTAAAACACAACAATCGTTGAGCTAATACTTTTACTGAATAGTGTTTTTCTGCAGTGATCATTCAGCACAGTGGACATTTTACCGGAAAACAACTGCTCCAATTGTCTCCCCTCTCCTTTCCACTGACCCCCTTCTCTGTTGCTCAACTGCCGACACCACAAGGAGTGGCTCCCCTCCCCTTCTCCTTGCTGACGAGAATGACTCAGAGAGCAGTAAGTTATTAAATAGTGCACTAACCCCAAGGATCTAATACTAGAGTTATTTCCTTGAGCTATAAGAGGGTACTAAGTCTACTTGTCTTTCTTCTACAGTTGTAGGTACTGAGACGCAGCCTGTCTTCGACTCCCCTCCCCTTCTCCCTGCTGACCCCAAACCTTGCTCCTCAACTGCCGACACCACAAGGAGTGGCTCCCCTCCCCTTCTCCCTGCTGACGAGAATGACTCAGAGAGCAGTAAGTTATTAAATAGTGCACTAACCCCAAGGACCTACTCCTGAGGGTGAATGACCCTGTGGATGGATTACACTTCACCCTCGGTGGGGTTAATAATAGTCTTTCAGCTATATATAGGAGGTTACTAAGTCTACTTTTCTTTCTTCTACAATTGTAGGTGCTGAGGCTTCGCAGTGGGTCCATGATGCTCAAGAAGACCCCACTACCTATACACCTCCTGGCTCCCCAATTGCTAGTTCCTCTCCCCTCTCTTCCTCTCTCCCCTCTGGCTCCACAACTGAATGCCCTAAGCCTGCTGCACCGAAACACCTGAAGAGGAGACGTCCTTGTCCTGTGCCTGAGTGCAATGGAGCACTGCACCTGAATATGTGGAACCATATCTTCCAGACGCACAAGGCAAAGGGGAAGTATTCCAGTAAGTGTCCTTTACCCATATATTACCCTTGCAGAGGGTGATTTAGCTAGTAACCCTCAATCCTGAATCCAAGGGGACTCTATTCCTTGTTATCTTAGTGGACGAACTGCGGAAGTTCATGGAGATTTCCAAGCTCCAAAATCCGAGGACAAGGACATCAACCAAACAAGCTCCCGGCCCGATAGAGAAAACTGAGACGGTGAAACAGGAAGAAGATGGCTCTGTCACAATCACCAGAGTTGACATTAAGCCAAAGTCATCGGGCCGGGAGCGCTTTGGATCAGGGACAAAGAACTGGAGCAAGTTTGATGAAGACACGCCTGTCCTTAAACGATTCTCAAGGTGAGAGTAATAATTATGCTCCCTTAAGGCACTAGGGAATAAGGCCTGAATAAGGCAAGCTTCACTGGTTAGAGTATGATTCCCCCTTGGGATAGGGCTAGGGGAAGAGTTTTCCTAATGGTTTGGGCTTGATTACCCGTTATGGTTAATTGCTAGAGCTAGCATGATGACAATCATTCCCCCTGCTACAGCTACCTGCAGAGCGTGGAGGGAGGCACCAAAAACCCCAAAGCTGCACAGCAGGAGGTTGTTGACTTGTCCAAGTTCCTCTATCTTGCCGATGAGAAGGAGTGTGACATCAACCATGTTACAACCATGTCCCACATCGTGGACTATCTCAACAAGTTGAGGCAGAGTGGGGTTGGCCCATCAGGGCAGGTGACTAAACTAACAACAATCCTTGATGCGACGAAGATGATCATATCTAGGGTGCCGGATGACGGAGGCAACGAGAAGACGAAGGAACTGGTTGTGCGAGCAACAGCGGTTGACCTCCGCAACCGCCGCCCACGCACAGAATAGCACTAGGCATGTAGCTGGTCGGCCGTCTATGACGGCGCAAACGGACGAAATGAGACACTAAAGGGGGACGCGAGACCGGACGCCCGGTGTCCCCGTCCCCGGACACCGCGTTAGCAGGGACCTCGCGTATAGATATCGACCAGCGAGTGATCCCGCCCCAGGAGCATTATGTACCACGGCCGCACTAGACGGTGGGGTCTGTCTTGATATCGTTCCACATAAGGACGACGCCGTACGCACTACCCGCACCGGCCGGGGACACTACCGGAGCGCGGGCGCGAATAGGCGATGGGGCCGTGGGCGCAAGAGATGCGGAACTGCGTAGAGAGGGTTAGAGAGGCATACCGAATCGAACGCGAGGGCCTAGGAGGAGGGCAAAGGCAGGAGGCGCAGCAGCCGACGGAGCAGTGCAGAAAGGAGCCCAACGGATGGGTCCTGACTTTCTGGAGGACAAGG